CCAAGTATGGTTTCTCAGTATAGTCTGTCTAGAGGTGTCCTATATGGCCCAAAGCCTTGTTTCCTTGGGAACCTGAGCTAAAACAATGGGCATTCAAACACTCACAGTGTTAAGTGTTGTGGAGGACCCAGATCTAGGCAGAGGAAAATTATCACAATAAGGAAATGGAAAATTTGAGGATTTGGAAAAGAGGGAAGGACTAGAAGAGCCAGTAGTAGAATATCTTAAGGGTAATATTTTTGGAGAAAAAAGCAGTTCTGGTGATTTTTGCAGTGAACTGCTCAGCTCTGTAACATACATACTTCCTTTCAGCCGGGGGTGGTGGCTCATGCCTATAATCCCAGCACTTTGGGAGGCCGAGGTGGGCGGATCACCTGAGCTCAGGAGTTCGAGACCAGCCTGACCAACATGGTGAAACCCCGTCTCTACTAAAAATACAAAAAATTAGCTGGGCGTGGTGGTGCGTGCCTGTAATCCCAGCTACTCAGGAGGCTGAGGCAGGAGCATTGTTACATACTTCCTTTCTTTCCATCAGGCTCCTCTATGAAATCTTTCATAAATTGTCCTTTTATAACTATCTATTGCCTATGAAGTAAATTTTTTTTTTTTTAAGAGATAGAGACTCTATCACCCAGGCTGGATTGAGTGCAGTGGCACAGTCTCGGCTCACTGCAAACTCTACCTCTGGAGTTAAAGTGATCCTCCTGCCTCAGCTGCCCTACTACAGGTGTGCCACCAATGCCTGGCTATTTTATTTTATTTTTTTGTATTTTTAGTGGAGATGGGGGTTTCACCAGCTCGGCCAGGCTGGTCTCGAACTCCTGAACTCAGGTGATCCACCTGCCTTGGCCTCCCAAAGTGCTGTGATTACAGGCGTGAGCCACCGCACCCAGCCTGTCAATTTTCTTTTGGAGAATAAAACAGATTGAATCTTGTGCCAAAATGCAGGGGAAGCTGCACCCAGACAGGTAACAAAATATTATATACAGTAATAGATAGGTTTTCCACATAGCAATAATAACCATTTAGAATACCAAATTGAGAAAAATTACACTTATATAGTGACAAAAATACAAAAAAAAAATCTAAAAACAGATGATTGGGGCAAGATGGCAGATACATCTCATGCCCCACTCAACATTCCATTGAACTGGGAAGAAAATGTTTAAGGGTAAATTCTTAACAGTATAGGAAAATAAGAAAACGTGTCAGTGGTACACCAGAAATATCGAGGCATTCCTGGGAGATAGAGTAGATGGGGTCAGACTGACAGAGAAACCCAAGGAGACAAGACCACAGCTCAAATCACCGTAGGCAAGAGATGCTCTTTTGTTTTCTGAGACAGAGTCTTACTCTGTCACCCAGGCTAGAGTGCAGTGGTGTGATCTCGGCTCACTGTGCCTCCTGGATTCAAGTGATTCTCCTGCCTCAGTCCCCCTCAGTAACTGGGATTCACAGGCATCTGCCACCATGGCCAGCTAATTTTTGTATTTGCAGTAGAGATGAGGGGTTCGCCATGTTGGCCAGGCTGACCTCAAATTCCTGACCTCAAGTGATCTGCCTGCCTTGGCCTCCCAAAGTGCTGGAATTACAGCATCAGTCACCACGTCAGGCCAAGAGATGCTCTTTGTAACAAAGCCTCTGAAAAACTCCAAACCCAGAATAAAAAAGAAACACGGAGCAGGAATGGACCTTAGGATAATCATCAGGTAGATTAATCTGAAATTTTGTTAGAAACGTCTGAATCAGCCAGATTCCCCTCCAACACCACACAGATTGGCTGGCAGTAGCCACTTTTGCCTCTAAGATGAAACTCTGATTAATTGTTCATTAAAGAAAGTGAAGGCCTGGCGAGGTGGCTCACACTTGTAATACCAGCACTTTGGGAGGCTGAGGCAGGAGGACTGTCTGAGATCAAGAGATCGAGACCAGCCTGGGCAAAATAGTGGGATCCCGTCTCGACAAAAAATGCAAAAATTAGCTGGATGTGATGGTGTGTGCCTGTGGTCCCAGCTAGTTTGAAAGCTGAAGTGGGAGAATCCCTTGAGCCTGGGACATCGAGGCTGCAGTGAGCTGTAACTGCATCACTGCACTCCAGCCTGGGCGACAGAGTGTGATCCTGTCTCAAAAAAAAAAAAAAAAAAAAAAAAAAAGTAATGTATCAGAACTTGATATAACTTCAGCCCTTCACTGAAGGAGAGAAACACATTTGTGGATAGGGGACCATGTTCACTCTTTATCCATGATAGACAGATTGTCGGACGCTTTATATTCCCAAGGAACCCAAGAAAAAATGTTCCCTGTCATGACATAATCTTCCAGCTGCCCTTCCTTGCACCTGTCTTGTGGGCTGGGGGACCTAACTTATGAATCCCATTTTCCCAGGGAGAAAGAAAAATCAAATCCGTCAGTATCTCTTTTGGGGTATCCTCTTCTCTATTTGCGTGGAGGATGCGGCACTCATATCTAGTAGCTGAATGTTACATCTGTGTAATACAGAACTATACTGGGATAAAACAGAATTTGTTTCCTTTGAGCCACAGGTAGAGGTACGTCCACAGTGACCTGGGTGGCAGCCGCCTCTCCCGACAGTTCCAGGCAGAGCATGCTCGCAGATCTGGGGAACCTCTGCTGCTCCCTGAAGACCCGCAATCTCCTTCCCGGCACCTGCTCCCTCTGCTGGCTGTGATAGCCCACACTTGGCCTTGGATCTCCTCTGCTTCTTTGCCTGCCCCTCTTCTGCCCGCCCTATGTGTCTCTGTCTCCCACTGTCCCCACTATGGCCAGGATTGCCTCTCCCTCCCTGTGTCCTCCCTCTCCAAGGGCTCCTTGTTTTGGGAAAATGATCCCACAGCCTCTACCTTGCAACTGGGGACAGAACTTGGGGCTTGTTCAATTCTCTCTCCTTCCACCACACACCCCTGTCCTGAATGTTTCTAAAGTCATTGAGCTCCAAACTCAGCCTCTCCTGCACCTGCCAGCTGTAGGACCTCTGACTAGATGCCTACCATCTCGCTGGGACTCTTATCTCTCATCTATAATATAGGCATAATGATGATAGTGTCCTCCTTCCAAGGCTGGGGAAAAGCCAGGAGGCCAAGGTGATGGGCCATGGACGGTCAAAACAGCTCCAAGTGGCTGGGTGCGGTGGCTCATGCCTGTAATCCCAGCACTTTAGGAGAACAAGGCGGGTAGATCACAAGGTCAGGAGTTCAAGACCAGCCTGACCAATATGGTGAAACCCTGCCTCTACCAAAAATACAAACATTAACCGGACGTGGTGACAGGTGTCTGTAATCCGAGCTACTCGAGAGGCTGAGGCAGGAGAATGGCTTGAATCCAGGAGGTGGAGGTTACAGTGAGCTGAGATCGTGCCATTGCACTCCAGCCTGGGAAACAAGAGCAAAACTCTGTCTCAAAAACAACAACAGCAGCAACAACAACAACAAAAACCCAGCTCCAATCCTGCCTCCACCTGGGGCTGGTGTTTCAAGTTCGTTGTGGGTGAATGAAGCCTTAATGTTTCCATTCACACGCGATTTGTTCTAAAATAGACTCCCCTCTGCCCTTCCCTTCCCCAGAACTGTTTCACCTCCGCACCACGCAATGGTACATCGGAGAAAGAACTGTCCCATTCCCAAATCATCGTCCCCATCCCAGCCCCCAGGCCCTTAGTTGGCGAGACCCTTGGTGGGCAGCCTCATGCTTCTGTACAGTGGACTTTCCATGTTTGCTCCACTGCATGGAGACTAAATGGACTCTTCTATTCCCTGTCCACCATAGGGTCTACAGTGGACACATCTTTCGGATTCCTCCACGTTCTGCAGTTGACAATTTCATCTATGTCTCCTCCTACATACTTCCAAATGGACCATCCCAGCCCCTGAACCCAAAAATCATTTAGAGAGCAAAGGCCAAGATGCCTAACCAGCTGCTGCAGAATCCTGCTCTAGGACTGAAGTGTATAGGCTCTATCAAAATAAAAACTGGAGGCCAAGTACAGTGGCTCACACCTGTAATCTCAGCACTTTAGGAGGCCAAGGTGGATCGCTTGAGCCCAGGAGTTTTGAGACCAGCCTGGGCAACATAGTGAGACACTCTTGAAAAAAATCTTAAAAAAATTAGTGGGGCATGATGGTGTGTGCCTATAGTCACAGCTACCCCAGAGACTGAGGTGGGAGAACTGCTTGAGCCCAGGAGTTCAAGGCTGCATTGAGCTATAATCACACCACTGCACTCCAGCTTGGACAGAGCAAGACCCCGTCTCTAGAAAAAACAAAAACCCAACAACTGGAAACATCCTCTTCTAGAATGGTAGTCAGGAACATGGCCTTGTTCCCTGATGTCTCTCCAGCACCTAGAACAGCGCTCAGAAGCAGTATGCACTCATTAGGTTTTCATTGAATAAATGACTCCTTTGACGCAGCAATTCCACTTTTAAGAATCTGTCCTAAAGAAATACACACGTGCCCAGTACTGTGCACAATGAGAGGCACAAACAACTGGGGAAAGTTTGCAAATGTTTATTAACTGTAACAGATACAGGGAATCATCGAGGGAAGTCTGCAGCAGGGAGTCCATGTTGAACAGGAAACAGAGTGAGGGAGGCTTAACCAGGACACATGGCAGTGGGGAAAAGCAGATGTGAGATGCTTACAGTGGTACTTGGGGTGTGTGTGTGTGTGTGTGTGTGTGTGTGTGTGTGTGTGGTGTGTAAATGCAGAGGAAAGAATCTGAAATTAAACATTCAGAACAGCCCTCAGTAGTCACATCTGGAAGGGTAGTGCTGTTCTATGCAGAAAATACCTGACAATACTATACTTGCTTTCTAAGGTAGGTGCATGGATACACAAATCGAAATATGTATTAAGTATATCTTGCTCATCAACGGAAACGCTAGTATCTACCAATAGCACACGATAAGAAAATACAACGGAAACACTAACATCAAAGTCTTGGCACACTAAGAAAAATGACGTTCAACTTTTCACTGTCGTGAACACTTGCTATACACCTGATGACGAGGTGTTCGCAGCCATGCCCATGTTCATGAAAGGTCACCAAGTTCTGCTTCTCATCATGGGCATGTGTCATATCCCTGAGGCTGAGGCAAGAAGAGAGAAAGAAAAAAGTGGCAGTGACTTCCCATTGCCCGATAACTCAATCTCAACTCTTGACCTGCAGACCCTGCATGCACCCTCCACTGTTCCTCGAAGTGAACAATGTGCTCATGCCACAGTGACCTCCTCGCCTGGTTTATCAATTCCTAGGCTAGAGGAAGGTGTGGCCCACATATCAGGGCTGAGGCTGACATGGGATTTGGGAACCCACAGCATCCTGGGTAGGGAGGATCCCTGGATATTCAGGGCAGGGAGTATAAAGAGTATGGGAAATCTCACCATTCAGCCTCAGTTCTGTACCCCAGAAAATTATGAGAAGGGAATGATTTGGGGAACAAGTGACAAGATGGGATACCAGTACTGTAACAGAATTGCATATCCGCAGGGATGTGGGGGATGAGCTGAAAATTCACTTACAGAGTTATTCGTCATCTTCCTCAGGGTCGCTGATCTCTTCATAGGTCACCAGATTCTTTCTCTCACGCAGTCTATGGCTCCAGGCATGTTTTGCCCTTTTGGGTGCTATGATGAAGAGTTGGGATATGAGAGTTGGGTAGATTTGAGTGTTAGGCTCTGTTTTCTCAAAAGGAGGCTCTGTTTTCTCAAAAGGAGGAGATGCCTCCCCTCTCCCAAGTGCCCATGGGCCTTCTTTATCCAGTTTTTCACTTTCTCTGGCTTAGAGAGGCTGAGACCTTAGACCCACACCAATACAGGCCAAATGCCAATTAAAGTTTTAGCTTTGGGCTCCTTCCGTTGTCAGCTTTAGATTCTCAACCTCTTCATATGTGGGAACATTCACCCATACCTTCTTTCATTCAGCAGGTATTTGTTAAGGGCACACAGGCATACCTTTTTTATAGCACCACATTTTTATAGTGCTTCACAGAAACTGCAATTTTTTTTGGAAGTTCTCACCAATTTTATACTTTTCCATTATTATTATATCCGTTATGGTGATCTGTGATCAGTGAGCTTTGATGTTATTATTCTAATTGTTTTTTAGTCTTTTAAGATAATTTTTGTTTTTTATGGTTGTGGGCACACAGTAGGCGTATATACTTGCGGGGTATGGGAGATGTTTTGATAGAGGCATGCAAATCATGGAAAATAAGGTATCTATCCCCTCAAGCATTTATCCTTTGTGTTACAAACAATCCATTAGATTCTTTTAGTTATTTTTCAATGTACAATTAAGTTATTATTGCCTATAGTCACCCTGTTGTGTGTAATTGTTTTGGGGGTACCGGGAACTGCACCCATAAAAGATGACAAACTTAATCAATCAATGTTGTGTGTGTTCTGACTGCTCCACCGATGAGCCGTTCACCGTCTCTCTTCCTTTTCTTGGGCCTCCCTATGTCCTGAGACACAGCAATACTGAAATTAGGACAATTAACAACCCTATAATGGCCGCGAAGTGTTCAAATAAAAGAAAGAATCACGTCTCTCACTTTAAATCAGAAGCTAGAAATGGCAAAGCTTAGTGAGGAAGGCATGGTGAAAGCCAAGATAGGCTGAAAGCTAGACCTCTTGCACCAAACAGCCAAGCTGTGAATGCAAAGGAAAAGTTCTTGAGGTATACTCTGGTGAACACACAAATAAGAAAGCAAAACAGCCTTACTGCTGAAATAGAGAAAGTCTGAGTGGTCAGGATAGAAGATCAAACTAGCCACCACATTTCTTTAAGCCGAAGTCTCATTCAGAGCAAGAGTCAAACACTTTTGAAGTCTATGAAAGCTGAGAGAGGTGAAGAAGCTGCAGAAGAAACATGTAAAGCTAGCAGAGGCTGGTTTGTGAGGTTTAAGGGAAGAAGCTGTCTCCATGATACAGAAGTGCAAGGTGAAACAGCAAGTACTGACGGAGAAGCTGCAGCAGGTTATCCGGAAGATCTAGTTAAGATCATTGATGAAGGGGGCTACACTGAACAACAGATTTTCAGTCTAGATAAAATTGCCTTATACTGGAAGAAGATGCCATCTTGGACTTTCATAGCTAGAGAGGATTGACTTCAACTTTGAAAGTAGTTCTACTGTGGGTAAAATGCTATCAAACAGCACCACCTACTACAGAGAAATCTTTCATGAAAGGGAAAGCTAATCGATGTGGCAAATTTCATTGTTTTCAAGAAACTGCCACAGCCACTCCAAACTTCAGCAACCACCACCTTGATCAGCCAGCAGCCATCAACACCGAGGCAAGACCCTCCACCAGCAAAGAGAGTGTGACTCACTGAAGACTCAGAAGATTGTTAGCATTTTAAACAATAAATTATTTTAAAATTAAGCTATGTACATTTTTAGACATAATGCTATTGCACATTTAGTAGACTACAGTATAGCGTAAACATAATGTTTTTATGCACTGCGAAAAAAATGTGTGACTCATTTTATTGCAGTGGTCTGGAACCGAACCTGCAATATCTCTGAGGCTGTATTGGTTATCAGACATTGAGCTGAGTAAGATATGATCCCAGGTTATCACAGATAGAATTGCTTGAGCACCTTTCATGTCATCAGGCCTTCTAGATTAATTTAATGCCTCCAAACAATTTATCAGCTATGATTATTTCCATCTTATGGACTAGAAATCTGGAGCTCAAAAAAATTTAGAAGACTTGCCCCAGGTCACATGTTTTTTTTTTTAATATGGATGACAACTCAAGTCTGTGTCTCTAGACGTCATGTCTAACATCTCATCTGGAGCTGGGCAAGCTCCTCAGCCCAGCCTGGACCCAGGCTTTTCTGGGGTCCATGCCACACACCCAATCCACACACCTGAACATAGCCAGGGAAGCCAGAGGGGTTGTTCCCAAATTATTTCCTCTTACCAGTTATCTTGTTAATCTTCTCAGGGGTACTTGGCTTTGCAGAGTACATCGGGGTGCACTGTGGGTAGCACAGCAGTTTCACATCATTTTGGGCGCCAGATGTTGCTGGCACTGCCTCCGAATGATTTTCTTCTTCCTTTGGTGGGTCCCTGGGCATGATCTTTGTAATGTGGAGATCATGGATAAACAGTATCAGTGGCATTTCTATAGTGCTTTAGAACTTATAAAGTTTCTTCACAGGCATTACATTAATCAATGTTCTCAACAACGCTGGGAGAGTTATACATACCTAAATTAGGAGAAACCTGGGAAGTTAGAAGGGAAAAGAATGGCCTAAACAAATGGGGTTTCCAGTGCTAGAATGCTTATCTTCACACTCTTTTGAGACTGACATCCTTGCCAACAGCAAAAATCTCCATGTCATTGAGAGTATGGTGTACAGATTTGGAAAAGAATAGCACTCTAAGAATTCACAAGGTCTACAAAAGGAAGAGCTTCTATAAAATACAAGGTATCCCATATAAGCTTGTAGACAGCTGCTGAGTAAATGTAAAAACAGAGAGAGGGGACAAAACACTGCTGGAAAAGATGGTGTAGGGAGATGAATACAGGGAAGGGAGAGGCAAATAAATGGTTTGCAGAAATTAGTCTAGGCAGCAAAGAAAGCAGTACCGGATATGGCGTACCACCTACCGAGGCACCAACAGTGAATGTGGAATTAACTGAGGTGGCACCCATACCAACTTTGGTTGCACTGGGATGTGCCGCTGACCAACAATCTCAAGGTACTTTATTCAGCTTCCTCACTTATGAAACAGTGAAATAATACATGTAAAATAGGCTAAGGGAAAGTCCTCTCTGAGCTGGTAAACACCATTTGAATGTAGTAATAATAAAAGTTACTATCTTTCACGATCCCTCTTTGAATTCAGTCTCCACACTGGCAACCCAACTCCCAGATCCCTTTACCCTCTAAGAGTTGAATCTGCAGTTTTGGGGTCACTCATTCAGGGGCCTCTGAGGGATCCCCTGGCTGGGACCGGGGCTTCCCAGATGCCCCAGGTGCAGACAAGGCCCTCAAGCAGCTCACAATAGGGAGGGGCCAATAGTGAAAGTGATTCCTAATTCATGTGAATGGCCCGGGTAATAGAGCAGAGGCCAGCTGGTCCTTTCTGTTGCAGAGTGGGTGTCTAAATGGAAGCACCAGCAGGCCCTATGGGGTAAAGCCCTACTGAGCAACAACTGAACTTCATCAACCAATGAAAACGTGAATGAGCTTTAAATGCCTTGGAGCTCTGGATTAGACTATCACTGCTACTGTGCCTCAGGTAAATTATTTAACATCTATCTCTGTACCACGATAGCCTCATTTTATGATTCTGCTGATAACTATGAACTATAACATGAACTACGATTCTTATTTCTTTTTGAGACGGAGTCTTGCTCTGTCACCCAGGCTGGAGTGCACTGGCGCAATCTCAGCTCACTGCACCCTCTGCCTCCCAGGTTAAAACTATTCTCCTGCCTCAGCCTCTAGAGTAGCTGGGACTACAGGCACATACCACTACGTCTGGCTAATTTTTTGTATTTTTAAGAGACAGGGTTTCACGGTGTTAGCCAGGATGATCTCGATCTCCTGACTTCATGATGTGCCCACCTCGGCCTCTCAAAGTACTAGGATTACAGATGTGAGCCATGGTGCCTGGCCAACTATGATTCTTTACTTCCATTTCATGGACCAGGAATCTGGAGCTCAGAGAAATAGAAGATTTGTGTCAAGTCGCATGTCTTTTTTATGGATAACTGAAGTGTGTGACTCATTATTTGGAGATAATAATAGAAACAACGTTATGGAGGTTTTCTTAAGGATTAAATAAACTAATCCATGTGAACTGCTTAAAATAACATCTGGCATCACTATGAAAACAAAAGAAGTATTAACCATCACAACTGTTAGGTATTGTCAAGCCATCGATACTACATCAGGTGTTGTGATAAACATGGGGAGAAGGAGGCAGTGAGGGCATTTTTGATATTCTTCCACTCTAAGGTTCTCTGGTACTTTAGATTTGGGAGATACTCACCTGCGAGAAGAGTCCCTGGAACATGCTGAGAGTCAGTGTATGACGTTTAACTGAAAGAGAATATATCAGAATTTTCCTTTGTCAGTAAGTATTTCCAAACTCTAGAGCAGGCGTCCCCAAACTGCGGCCCATGGGCTGCATGCGGCCCCCTGAGGCCATTTATCCGGCCCCCCGCCGCACTTCAGGAAGGGGCACCTCTTTCATTGGTGGTCAGTGAGAGGAGCACAGTATGTGGCGGCCCTCCAACGGTCTGAGGGACAGTGAACTGGCCCCCTGTGTAAAAAGTTTGGGGACGCCTGCTCTAGAGAGACTTCCACAGCATCAGGGTATTCTGCAGCAGAGGGTTACGAGTCTACTCATTGTTGAGGAGTTGAGATTTGCGATTTGCTTCTGAGTTATCTTCAGCAGTGGTTGGTGCACTTACCTGTGGCATCAATTCAGAATTTTCCTTCTCATCGTTTAGCAAATGGGGACTAAAGCCATCACAGTCTCATCTTATTCCATTGCATGTCTTTTACTTTTCCCCAAATGATTAAATTGGTTGGGAATCTGAACTGGATCCACTCAAGATATGAAACAACTAAAAATCACTGTACACTTAAAATGGGTGAATCTTATGGTATGTCAATTAAGCTGTGAAATGTGTGATGAACCCTGGATGATTCAGTCCAGTGGCTCCGAAATACTTTCAGTAGAAAGACACTCCTTTAATGTCAGAAACTTGGCAGATACTCAAGCACTGAATTTTCAGACCTCTTATGGTGATTACAGGAGATTGTAGCATTTGGCTTGTTTAGCTGGGGAGTAATAGGTCTACTGGACAGTTGTGACATTCTGACCTTGTCAGAGCAGAAGAGCAAGTAAACACATATGTTCCCTTTATATACTGAAATGCACAAAGATCTCTAACCTGGAATCTTTTTTCTCCCTACATTATCTCTGCTCACTGAGTAGTGGGAAAGCTCTCTGTATGCTGGATGAGGGATCACTCTTTCAAACCCTCTTCCAAGCTCAACATGGAGAATCGGGGTTGTTTGGGAATCAGAAGACTATTTGGTTTTGATAAAATACAGATAAACAGCAATCTTTGTTACATAATGTGTTTATCATTCTCTTTCGTAAGAAATTTATTAATACCTACATGCTGTTAATCAAACAAACTCTGGAAGATTTTGGCGGATCTACACTTTTAACATTTTCTTTTCACTTTTCACTTTTTTTTTTTTTTTTTTTGAGACTGAGTTTCGCTTGTTACCCAGGCTGAAGTGCAATGGCGCAATCTCGGCTCACTGCAACCTCTGCCTCCTGGATTCAAGCAATTCTCCTGCCTCAGCCTCCTGAGTAGCTGGGACTACAGGCAAGTGCCACCATGCCCAGCTAATGTTTTGTATTTTTAGTAGAGATGGGGTTTCACCTTGTTGACCAGGATGGTCTCGATCTCTTGACCTCGTGATCCACCCACCTTGGCCTCCCAAAGTGCTGGGATTACAGGCATGAGCCACCGTGCCTGGCCTAAAAGAAGTATTTCAAACACACAGAAAAGTATGTGGAATAATATTGAGTCCAGTCAGATCTCAACATTATCCCACAACTATGTTAGATCTGATTTATTTATTCAGAATATTAGAAACACTATAAAGGCCAGGCGCAGTGGCTCACGCCTGTAATCCAGCACTTTGGAAGGCCGAGGCGGGCAGATCACAAGGTCAGGAGTTCGAGACCAGCCTGACCAATATAGTGAAACCCTGTCTCTACTAAAAATACAAAAATTAGCCAGGCGTGGTGGTGGGTGCCTGTAATCCCAGCTACTTCGGAGGCTGAGGCAGGAGAATCGCTTGAACCTGGGAGGTGGAGGTTGCAGTCAGCTGACATTGTGCCATTGCATTCCAGCCTGGCGACAGAGCAAGACTCCATCTCAAAAAAAAGAAACAAAACAAAACAAAAAAAAACCCCAAACCACTATAAACAAGACACAGCTGAAGCTGTCTGTGCAGCCCTCACCAATCCCTACGCTCTCTACTCCACTTACAGCCAGTCTCCTGAGTCTGATGGCTTTTTGTTCGCATTTATGTTTTAATACATTTACTATTTACTTATTTATTATCCATAATATATATTATTGTTTTGCATGTTTTAGAATTTTATATGAGTGGCCTCTGTAGAACTTTCTGAATGGATTTTTTTTTCACTCAGCCCTGATGAGGCGGCAAATGCCTGAGGATCTTTCCCAGGTAGCTGAGCAGAAAAGCAGCTAGGCTTGAAGAGACCCTTTCCAGCCCTTCCCATGTACTCACCCAGATTCCCGGGGTTAGAGTCTCTATCAGAATCATCCTCCTGGATGTCTTTGGCCTGTTTATTACGCATGAAAAGTGGGACGGTGACCTGGAAACCTAGAAAAAAGAAAAATGCTTATTCCTTAAGAGACAAGCTTAGGCCTGGCACGGTGGCTCATGTCTGTAGTACCAGCACTTTGGGAGGCTGAGGCGGGAGGACTGTTTGAAGCCAAGCGCTCAAGACAAACCTGGGCAACATAAAGACCCCGTATCTACAAAACATAAAATAAAATTAGTTGGGCATGGTGGCACATGCCTGTAGCCCGGCTACGCCAGAGTCTGGGGCAGGAGGACTGCTGCAGGAGTTTGAGGCTGCAGTTGAGCTATGATTGCACTACCACACTCTAGCCTGGGTGACAGAGTGAGACTCTGACTCAAAAAACAAAAAACAAAAAACAAAAAAAAAGAGAGAGAGAGAGAAAGAAACTGAAAGAGAGAGAAAGAAAGAAAGAGAGAGAGAGAGAGAGAGTAGCCGAGAGTGGGGGGCCAGGATGTCAAGGACAGTTGTGCTCATCAGAACAGATGCCTACAGGGGAACCACGCAGGCCCAGGTATGAGCTCCACTGGCCAGTTCCTGCCCTCAGCCCTGACAGGCTACAGAGGAGCAGAACACCCAGAAGCTGGCTTGGGATTTTTCCCTGCACAAAAGGAACATGTGGGGTACTTTCAGCAGCCTGAGAAGTAGCCAAAGCAGGAAAAGGGATGCTCATGTGTCCCCGGACTTGGCTGTATCTAGAACTTTCTGTTACCTAGTCTACTCATGGCCTCATAGTTCCTCTTCATGTACACATAGGTGATTTTCTGCGAGTACTGCAGCTTTTCCCACTCGTTCTTAGAGAAGTATTGGGCAATATCATCAAAGGCCTAGAAAATAAAAAGGAAAAGAAATTCTGGCAGTCACTCAGCTAGGCATGTCTGCCATCCAGGGGGAACCGCTTCCTGTGTGCTGGATGTGGGGATGGTAATCCCTCCTGGTTGATGCCACAGCTGAGACGACGGCACAGGCGATCTTCCCTAGCTTCAATATTGCTGGCTAGCTCTCTTTCCACCTTCCAGAATGGACTGAGAGTCACCAAATGTAGTGCCAGGTAACAGACTTGTCCCCAAGGATGCTAGGTGATGACAGAGCGAGGGTGGGAGACTCTCAAGGGCCCAGATCTCCCGGAGACCCTGCTCCTTGTCCCCAGCACCTCTGTCCTCCCCTCCTCAGAAACTTGGTCACCCTACACTGTCCCCTGGGCCACTACTCTGCCCCTCCAGGTCACCTCACCTTGCGTTTACTCTCCGATATTTGCTCTTCATCACCGGGTTTCTTTGCAGAGCTGTCGTCGCCGTTCATGGCTCTGGGAGCAGTCTGACCTGTAAGAGAAACAGCCTGAGTTAAAGGCCCTGTGGAGGGGGAAATCACTGAAGACCGGCCACAGTCACCTGGGGTCAGGTGCTGCCTTTCTCCATCCGTGGCAGTGGCTTATCTGTCCCCAAGTAAGGACATGGGGAGAAGTCAGATGAAAACAGGGAGCCAAGGGTCTCCGGGAGAAGTATTGATTGGGGATGACAGCTTTCCTAAGGGCAAAGCAGCCTTAAGTCTTTGGGAGGGGGTTGGCTACGGTTGTTGTTTCCCTAGAGGTAGATTTACCCTAAAAGATGTACAGACCCTTGTTGGGGAGGCAGGGACATGACTGTGTAATTTTATTGAGTGGGGGCATTCTGACACCTCAATTCACTAAAGCGAAGTGAGTCCCAGAGATCACATGGTCTCTCTGCTGATGGATCTGATCAGGCAGAGGGAGGCAGGGGGGGTTCTGTTCTGTTGAAGAGAAATGAGAGAAATGAACATTGCTAATATGAATGGATTTAGAGCAGGCGTCCTCAAACTTTTTACAAAGGGGACCAGTTCATTGTCCCTCAGACCGCTGGAGGGCCGCCACATGTTGTGCTCCTCTCACTGACCACCAATGAAAGAGGTGCCCCTTCCTAAAGTGCGGCAGGGGGCCGGATAAATGGCCTCAGGGGGCTGCATGAGGCTTGTGGGCCGTAGTTTGGGGACGCCTGATTTAGAGGCTATTACTGGGCTATGTGTAAATTATTAGGAGGAAGAGAGCTAGAATCTCTGAGACTACGAGAGCCTGCCATCACTTGGAGAGAATGTGGGGCATTTCAAGATGCAGCAATCAGCCAGGTGCAGTAGCTCAGGCCTGTAATCCCAGCACTTTGGGAGGCCAAGGCATGCAGATCACTTGAGTCCAGGAGGTCGAGACCAGCCTGGGAAACAGCAAAACCCCCATCTCTACCAAAAAAAAAAAAAAAAATTAGCTGGGGGTGGTGGTGTAGGCCTCTAACATCCCAGCACTTTGGGAGGCCAAGGCAGGGGGATCCCAAGATCAAGAATCGAGACAATACTGGCCAACATGGTAAAACCCTGTCTCTACCAAAACTACGAAAATTAGCTGGAAGTGGTGGCACACGCCTGTAGTTCCAGCTACTTGGGAGGCTGAGGCAGGAGATATCACTTGAACCCTGGAGGCGGAGGTTGCAGTGAGCCTAGGTGGCGCCATTGCACTCCAGCCTGGCGACAGAGTGAGACTGTCTCAATAAATAAATAAATAATTAGTAGGGGCAGGGTGGTGTTCGCCTATAGTCCTAAGGCTGAGGCGGGAGGATTGCTTGAGACCAGGAGACAGGAGGTCAAAGCCAGCCTAGCCAACACAGGGGAATCCCATTTCTACTAACAATAACAACAAAAATGTACCGTGGGCAGGGTGGCTCCGGCCTGTAGTTCCAAGGCTGAGGTGGGAGGATTGCTTGGGCCCAGGAGGTGAGACCAGCCTGGGCAACACAGCGAAATCCCATCTCTACAGAAGAAAAAAAATAAAAAAGCAAAAAAGACCCCCAAAAAAACCAACAACTAGCAGTAGCAGGGGCGGAATGGCACATGCCTGTAGTCCTGAGGCCAAGGTGGGAGTAGCGCTTGAGCCCAAGAGGTTGAGGCCAGCCTGGCCAACATAGTGAAACCGGTTTCTACAAAAAAAAAAAAAAAAAAAAAAAAAAAAAAAAAAAAAAATGCCACGGGCAGGGTGGTGCATATCTGTAGTCCCGAGGCCAAGGCAGGAGGATAGCTTGAGACTAGAAGGTCGAGACCATTCCGGCCAATATAGCAAAACCATTTCTACCAAAAAAAATAAAAAATTAGCAGGACGGTGGTCATGGAAGTCGGGATCTGCTGAGGATTGTGTAACAACTCCCGTAACGAAAAAAAAAAAAAGAAAAAAAAAAAACCTTAGCGGGGTCGGGGTGGTGCACGCCTGCAGTTCTGTGGCCGAGACAGGAGGATTGCTTGAGCCCCGAAGTCAAGGCCAGCCTGGCTAACATGGCGAAACCCCATTTCTGCTTTAAAAAAATCAAAACAGCATAAGTGGGGTGGCCTGTGCCTGTAGTCCCAAGGCCGAGGTGGAAGGATTGCTTGAGCCTAGGAGGTTGCAACTGGCCTGACCAACAGAGCGAAACCCCGTCTCTATTAAACTACAAAAAAATAAACTCTCGGGGCGGGATGGCACGGGCCTGTAGGCCTGAGGCCTAGGCGGGAGGACCCTCCATCATGGCGGTCCTGAAAGGCTAGAGGACTAGCTGTCTTTGTGCTCAAGATTTCCAGAACCCCAAGCAATTGAGTGATCTCAAGAGGCTTCCCACTTTTCTATCTGCCCCACTTAGCCCATCTAGGGTGTTCCTAAAAGATAACCTACCTCAGAGACAAAGCAGCGGTAGCAAGGTCTGCAACAGAGAAAGCTCTGTCTGCAGCAAGCGGCGCGGTCCGCAAAAATGGCTGTAAAGTATGGCTGTAGGAGGAGATAATATTCTGCAACGTCACCACCCAAAGATGACGGACCAATCAGGGTGGGGAGTGAACTCCATCTGGCCAATCAGAAGTCAGAACAGTAGGCGGGACAAGCACAGTCGGTGTGGGGTCTCTCAGTCCAGGGCCCAGGGACAGAATGCTCTGATTTTCCCGCCTAAAGCATCTCTCGGGATTGGCTACTCCAAGTTCAGAGTACGCATGGTCTGATTTTCAATTTCGATTCTTCAAAATCAGAGTACGCAGGCGCCGATTTTCTCTTTCCATTCTCCATGCGCCCCACCCCCGCCACCCGTGCATTTGTTATCTAGTTTCAATATACTCATTGTGTGTGTGAGGCAGGTTGCCATCTTAAATTCTTCCTGTCAGTTTCTAACTTTTTCAGGTATGGAATTTTTCCTAGGAACTCTGTAGTAACAAGAAATTTGGCAGGCCAGGCGCAGTGGCTCACACTTGTAATCCCAGCACTTTGGGAGGCTGAGGCGGGCGGATCATGAGGTCAGGAGATTGAGACCATCCTGGCCAACATGGTGAAACGCTGTCTCTACTAAAATACAAAAAATTAGGCAGGCGTGTCGATGCACGCCTGTAATGTCAGCTACTTGGGAGGCTGAGGCAGGGGAATCACTTGAACCCGGGAGGCAGAGGTTGCAGTGAGCCGAGATCTCACCACTGCACTCCAGTCTGGCCATAGACTGAGACTCCATATCAAAAAAAAAAAAAAAAAAAAAAAAAAAAAAAAGGGAAGAAAGGAAGGAAGAAAGAAAGAAAGAGAAAGGAAAGAAAGGAAAAAGAAAGAAAGAAATTTGGTGGCGATAGACTGAGACTCCATATCAAAAAGAAAAAAGGAAGAAAGAGAAAGGAAAGAAAGGAAAAAGAAAGAAAGAAAGAAATTTGGTGGCCGGGGCAGTGGCTCATGCCTATAATCCTAGCACTTTGGGAGGCCGAGGCTGGCGGATCATAAGGTCAGGAGTTTGAGACCAGCCTGACCAACATGGTGAAACCTCGTCTCTACTAGAAGTACAAAAATTAGCCAGGTGTGGTGGTGGGCACCTGTAATCCCGGCTTCTCGGGAGGCTGAGGCAGAATTGCTTGAACTCAGGAAGCAGCGAGCCATGACATGCAACTGTACCCCAGCCTGGGCAACAGAGTGAGATCCTGCCTCAAAAAGAAAAAAAAAAAAAAAGAAAGAAAAGAAAAGAAAAAAAAGAAATGTATCTCTACAAAAAAATAAAAAATAAAAAATTAGCAAGGCGGTGTGGTGTGCCTGTAGTCCCAGTTACTCAGGGGGCTGAGGTAGGAGGATCGCTTGAGCCCAGGAGTACAAGGTTGCAGTGAGCCATGATCCAGACACTGCTGTCTACCTGAGCCAGAGCAAGATGTTGTGTTAAAAAAAAAAAAAAAGAGGCCGGGCGCGGTGGCTCAAGCCTGTAATCCCAGCACTTTGGGAGGCCGAGGCGGGTGGATCACAAGGTCAAGAGATCGAGACCATCCTGGTCAACATGGTGAAACCCCGTCTCTACTAAAAATACAAAAAATTAGCTGGGCATGGTGGTGTGTGCCTGTAATCCCAGCTACTCAGGAGGCTGAGGCAGGAGAATTGCCTGAACCCAGGAGGCGGAGGTTGCGGTGAGCCGAGATCGCGCCATTGCACTCCAGCCTGGGTAACAAGAGGAAAACTCCGTCTCAAAAAAAAAAAAAAAAAAAAAAAGAGAGAGAGAGAGAGAGAGTGGGCCACGGAGCAAGATCTTGTCGGGAGGGGAGGGGAGGGGAGGGCAGGGGAGGGGAGGACAGGACATTGATTTAAATGAGCTCATGCCTGTAGTCCCAACACTTTGAAAGGCTAAGGCAGGAGGTGGAAGGATCACTTAAGGCCAGGAGTTCTAGAACAATCTGGACAACACAGTTTTTTTTTTTTTTTTTTAGGTAGAGTTTCTCTTGTTGCCCAGGCTGGAGTGCAGTGGCACAACCTTGGTTCACCACAAGCTCCGCCTCCGCCTCCCGGGTTCAAGTGATTCTTCTGCCTCAGCCTCCTGAGTAGCTGGGATTACAGGCGTGCACCACCAAGCCCGGCTAATTTTGTAATTTTAGTAGAGACGGGGTTTCTCCATATTGGTCAGGCTGGTCTCAAACTGCCGACCTCAGGTGATCTGCCTCCCTAAGTGCTGGGATTACAGGTGTGAGCCACTGCGCTCAGCCTAAAAACTTCTTGTTTTTTTTTTTAAAGAAATTTAAACCTAAAAAAAAACCACTTCCATATATGTTTTTTTCTAGAAGACCAAAGAACCAGAAATATATTTTACCCATCGATACTAATAATATGTGCAATAATAGTATTAAAAAGGATATGTAATTAGGGCTTACTGTGTTCCTCAGGGAGCTCATAAGTCAATTTCTCTAAAAAGTCTCTCCTACCCTCATCCCTAGCACTTCCAACAATTCCCCATTTCTTCCTGGGCTTTCCATCAACAGCCCTGATCTCTCTAAGA